TTTTTTTGTTTGAATCAATAGCATAGTCGGACCATATTTCTTTGTCTAATGCAGACTGCACTTTTTTTTTTTTTGAACAAATTCATAAAGAATCGGATTTAAACCGTTGTTTTGGAAGAGGAAAAATGCACTTATATGTGATCTGACGCTACTGAACTAAAGGCCAAGTGTTAATGCAAACTGCACTTAGTGAATCAACATGAAGAGAAAATTATTTGAATGTACTATAGTAATTAGATAATAAGGAGTGTACATTTTTTTAATGTAATCATGATTAAAAAAAGATTTTTTTAAAAGAGAGATAAAATGGGGGAATTGGAGAGAATGAAAAATAGTTTTGCGAGAATTATATTTATTTTGAATTGATCAAAATCTAATTTGGTGATATTAAGAGATTAATATTAAAAAAAAAAACCATTCACTTAATAAAACTTGATATTTACCGAAAAAAAAAAAAAACCAAAACTTGATGGTTCTCTTTCACCAACGCAGCCACAGCTGCATCAGCTAATTAGAAGTTTTTTATTTCAAAATTGAGTTATTTCAATAAATATTTTGATTTAGAAATATTGTGTTGTAATTATAAGTTTTTTATTTTTTATATTTTAAAGATATATAAAAATATATTTAATATATTTAACATTGATTTTAATTAATAATTTATATATTTTTAAAATAATAAGAAATATAAAAACAAAAAACTAAAATATAGAAATACATTCCTAAACAAAACCTTTAAAATTAAAATCACAAAATATATCAAAATTACATAATAAAATGGCAGTGTCTTAATTAATGTCAACGTATTTTAGTTCTCTATTATTTTACTTTAGCTTCTTCGGCATGCTCTGAAAAATACAAAAAAAATATATATATATTATATAATTTTTCGTGATTCTTATTTTTGTAATATGATGTAAATTAGGAAATTCTTAAAAATAAAAACCTCGTAACGTTTTGAAAACGCGCGGTGAAATGAGAGTGGGGATGGGAAGAGCGACAGAAACCCTGCTGGAGAGATAACTTAGTCTACAGACAAAAGCCACACAAAAATAAAAAAATAAAAAAAATTATACTAATCAAATAAAAAAAAATTATAAAAAAATAAAAAAGTGGGAAAAGAACCCCAGAGAGAGAAGGATGAAGGGCACTTTACCACTTTTATATGTTGCACGCATCCATAGCAGACAACAGAAGAAAGACAGACTTCTCCTGCAAAGGCCTAAGAAGAAGAAGAGATAAAAAATGCAAACCAAAAACCAAAAACCCACCAAAGTTACCAAGAGGGGAAGCAAAAAAAAGATGTGTGCAGCTAAAATGGGGTCTTGAGTTATAGGTACCATCGGAAAATTAAGCTAAAGGGGTTTGGCGTTTCTGGGTTTTCTTTTGTTGCGCGCTAAAATGGATTTCTACATTTATTTTCAAAAGTGTGTTCTCAACTCTCTGATTTGGTTATCCCATCATTATTTGTCTGATTTTTAGCCTCTTTCTTTGTTTTCTATTGGGACAAAACCATATCCTCTTCCCTTTTTTTTTTTTCTTTTCCCCTTACTTGCTTCTTGGAAACTGGAGTGTTTTGGGTTGTTGGTACTGTTTCTGTTCTTGATTTTTCTCCTAGATGAAGGCCATGCCCTTTCCCTTTGAGGAGTTTCAAGGAAAGGGGGTTTTAGATTTCTCTTCTTCGTCTTCGTCTTGCTCAGATTCGTCTTTATTGCCACTGCAACAGCAACAAGAACAACTCTACAAGTGGCTGAGCAAGGGCGGTGAGCCCACATCTGTTTTAGACCTGGGGAAAAGTCCGAGTCCCCCAACGTCTTCCTCAACACTGTCTTCCTCTCGCGGCGGCAGCAGTGGTGGAGGCAGCGGTGCCTCCACGTCCACTACCGGCACGGCCACGGTTGTCTCCGGCAACCATCCCGTAGACATCGGGAGGGAAAAATGTGGTATGGGAATGGAGGATTGGGAAGGTGTGTTCTCTGGGTCTCCTAGTCAAGAACAGTCCATTTTGAGGCTAATTATGGGTGATGTTGAGGACCCTTCTATGGGTTTGAGCAAGATTTTGCAGCCGGGTATGGGTTCTCAAGAAGTGGAGTTCAATGCAGGTTTTGGCATGGTGGATCAAGGTTTTTCGTTTGAATCCTTCAGCAGCAGTGGCAATTTGGTGGGCAGTGTTGAGCCATCTCTCTCCGGTAGTTTCTCCGATTTCGCGAGGATGGGGTCGGTTGCAAACCCAATAAATCCCATACCTGCATCTTCTCCGGGCAATCTTTTGCCTGCTTCACTACCACCGGGTGGCGGCTTTCAACAACAGCAGCAGCTCCCGCATGACGCTTTGGATGAGAAGCCACAAATTTTTAATCCCCAGCTGATAATTAACCCGAATCAAGCTCAATTCACTCAGAATCCAGCCATGTTCCTGCCAATGCCATATGCACAGTTGCAAGAGCATCATCTTTTATCACCACCGCCTCCTAAGAGGCTCAATTCTGGTTCAGGTGGATCAAATTATCAGGTGCCAAAGGTTCCGTTTTTGGGTTCTGATCAGCAGGAGCTGTATCTCAGGCGACAGCAGCAGCAGCAGCAGCAGCTCCAAATGCTTCAACAGAGGCCAACAACAATGGGGATGCCAACGGCAAAACCAAAAATGGTTAGTGATGAATTCGCAAGCCAGCAACTTCAGCGGGCAATAATTGACCAGGTTTTCAAGGCCGCAGAGCTGATCGAAACCGGGAATCCGGTACTTGCGCAAGTGATATTGGCGCGGCTCAATCACCAGCTCTCTTCAGTAGGTAACCCTTTTCAAAGGGCTGCTTTCTACTTCAAGGAGGCCTTGCAGTTACTACTTCACATGGATGCTTCCACCGCCTCTGCTGCTTTCTCCTCTTATAGCATGATTCTCAAAATTGGTGCATATAAATCATTCTCTGAAATTTCCCCCATAGTTCAGTTTGCAAATTTTACTTGCAATCAAGCGCTTCTGGAGGCATTTGAAGGGTTTGATAGAATTCACATTATAGATTTTGATATTGGATATGGAGGGCAATGGGCATCTTTGATGCAAGAACTTGCGTTGAGGAATGGTGGTGCTCCTTCTTTGAAAATCACAGCTTTTGCTTCTCCAGCCACACACGAGGAGTTCGAGCTTGGTTTCACACAGGAAAATCTCAAACATTTTGCTAGTGAAATCAACATGTTGTTTGATATTGAAATTGTAAGGCTTGAGTCTTTGAATCCTGCATCATGGCGATTGAATCTCCAGGCCCCAGAAAGTGAAGCAATCGCGGTGAATCTTCCAATCAGTTCATTCTCCAATTATCCATCAACACTTCCTTTGGTCCTTCGCTTTGTAAAGCAATTGTCTCCCAAGATTGTTGTGTCTTTGGACCGAGGTTGTGACAGAGCTGATGTCCCATTTGCACATCATGTAATTCATGCTCTTCAGTCCTACTCAGATCTCATAGAATCCCTTGATGCTGTGAATATGAACATTGATGCCTTGCAAAAGATAGAGAGGTTCTTGCTCCAGCCAAGCATTGAAAAGATTGTGTTGGGACGTCATAGGTTTCTCCAAAGAACAGCTCCATGGAGGAATGTATTTATGCAATCTGGATTCTCACCATTGGCATTCAGTAACTTCACAGAGTCTCAAGCTGATTGTTTGGTGCAGAGGACTCCAGTTAGGGGTTTCCATGTTGAGAAAAGGCAGTCTTCGCTTGTTCTTTGCTGGCAAAGTAGAGAACTCATCGCTGCTTCAGCATGGAGGTGCTGAAGAGACAAAGGTTCTACACCAGTGAAGGTGCCTGATTACTTACTACCTTAGTTTCAGATCCTTTGAATTTTTGTTGCCGGTGCATCTCTTAAGCTAATTGTCTATGTAGCCTTTATCATTTCTAGTCAAGAAACAAAACATTTAGTAATTGGGTGGTTTTTGTTTTGTACACTTCCATTTTCATCTGGATGTGGGTATAACTTGTATGCTTCCTTTTTCCCAACTAAGGTGTTAATTATGTGTTGTACACTTACCAACAATGCAAAAACAAAAGTAAAGGGAAGAAGACTCAAAATTAGGATATCATGTCATGACCCCGATTCTTGTATGAAAAAATTTTAACAAGTCTTGCAATTTCATGCCCAATTTGATTTTCTTTTATCTTTCCTAACCAAAACATGGGTGGGGTTATTGCCACAGCCACTAATGTTAATGCGACAGCTTTTTTTAGTTATTTGACTATTATACCCCTCATTTTGAATCCAACTTGCAGCAGTCATCACCTTCTCCGCGTGGGTTAATGGTCAATTAATTAAAAAAGCTGTGGTATTAACCTTTGAAGCTGTGGCAATAACACCACCCCCAAAACATAAGTGGTTCTTTTCTTCTACTAATTATCATGTATTATTATAATGATTGAGGGTCAAACCTTTAAAGGCTCAAAGGATGTGGGAGGCCTGAATTCTTTGTACACGCATTCAAAGAACTTGATTCGTGATACGGTTATGATATTTAGAAAATTGAAAAATTAAGGTATTTTATCTATTAGAATATTAAGAATAATAATAACAAATTTAAATA